TGTACTTGAGTGAAAGTAGAAGTACCAGGGTATTGGAATACTCTGTTACAAGTAAAAGTCCTGTATTCAAAATGTTAATCAAGTAAAAGTATTTTCATCAAAATATATTTAAAGTACCAAAAGTAAAAGTAGTCATTGTGCAGATTGGTCCATTTCAAAATAATATACTGTATATGATATGTTTTATAACTAGAGAATGCAATTCCTGAAGAAATTGCTAGTGGGAATGCTTTATGCTGAAAAGCTGACGCTAAACTGCTATGCTGAAATGTAGTGTGTAAGAAGAAAGTGTTTAGATTTAAATGATGCATAAACACTGGGGCTTGAATGTTTGATGAGAGAAGAAAAGAAAGTAAAAAGGCTTGGAAAAGCAGCAGAATATTTGAACTGCAAACTTTTGAACCAACTTGATGGCGAATGATCTGTCGCCATGCCAACGGCATTTGATGACATCCCATGATACGCTTGGATGCGTTGATGGCTGCATCGTTACCAAACCTGTGAAGTTTTGGGCTGTTTGGAGCATTTTCACTTAAGTTATGCGAAAACCGTGCTTCATGGTGAGCATTGTGTTGCCATGGCAATGGCATTTGAAGAAATCTCAAAACTTTCCAGTAGATGTCTTCACGGCTAAACTGTTAGCACACATGTGAAGTTTGAGCACTTTTTGAACATTTTCATAGGAGTTATACATTACATTAGGAGGTTACATTACTCTCGATCTTCTCTTGATCGCCCTCTCTCTTCTCTTGATCACCCTCACTCGCTTCTCTTGATCGCCCTCTCTATTCTCTTGATCGCCCTCTCTCTCTTCTCTTGATCGCCCTCTCTCTTCTCTTGATCACCCTCTCAATCTTCTATCGCCTTCTCTCTTCGCTTGATCGCACTCTCTCTCTTCTCTCTCTCTTCTCTTGCTCGCCCTCTCTCTCTTCTCTTGATCGCCCTCTCTCTCTTCTCTTGATCACCCTCTCACTCTTCTATCACCCTCTCTCTCTTCTCTTGATCACCCTCTCTCTTCCCTTGATCACCCTCTCACTCTTCTATCACCCTCTCTCTCTTCTCTTGATCGTCCTCTCTCTCTCCTCTTGATCGCCCTCTCTCCTCTTGATCGCCCTCTCACAGGAGAACACTTCACTGTAGGGTTTCTGCCATGTCTCCACTTTAGTTTGCCTCTCTCTCTTCTCTTCTCTCTCTTCTCTCTCTTCTCTTGATCGCTCTCCCTCTCTCTCTTCTCTTGATCGCCCTCTCTCTCTTCTCTTGATCGCCCTCTCTCTCTTCTCTTGATCGGCCTCTCTCTCTTCTCTTGATCACCCTCTCACTCTTCTATCACCCTCTCTCTCTTCTCTTGATCGCCCTCTCTCTCTCCTCTTGATCTTGGATGCGTTTCCATGGAATGACACCCCATAATTGAAGTAGAGCTGTTGAGGGCAGGACCATTAACCATTATCTGAAGTCTGCTGCTCTGAGCATGTCAGTTGGAGTAATGCTGCGTTCACATCGGACGCGATGCAATGTTTGGGGGCGTCGCGATTACATGTAAAGTCAATGCAGAGACGCGGACAGACGCAAATTCGCTCCGACGGCAAGCATGAAGTGCTGGACGCGTATTCCGCGATTGAAGGGGCCACGACAAACGCACAAGTTCAATTTTTCAACTCGAGCGTCATATTCGTGTGACGCGACCTCGCGGTAGCCAATCAGCGGTGAGGATCTCAGCCTGCCGTCACTGACGTTCAACCAGAAAACATCAGCCCTTATCTGTTACCAGTTAGCACACAGAGCTCACAGCTCTATCAATCTTTATTTATTTTATGTATTTATATAGCTCCTCATATCTGTTCAGAAACTGGACAAAAGTTAAACAAGTACAAACCA